TGTAGCAAATATGTGGATATAGATCCGACAGTATGAAGAAAAATATGGAAAAACAAATATCCGAATACGCAAGTATGCTGTTTTAATGTTGTTTCAATGTCGACGTCAGATGTTTCGGTCTAGTAGACCTTCTTCAATATCGTCTAATTATAATTATGTTTTAATAACTATGTCCTGAAGAAGGTCTACTAGACCGAAACGTCTGACGTCGACATTGTAACAACATTAAAATAACATACTTGCATATTCGGATTTTTGTTTTTCCATTTTTTTCTTCATATGTATGTATGTATGTATATCCAGAAATAGATAAATTGATATGAACAGACCGAGCTAGACAGACTAATATATGTATTTGTCAAGTCTCTCTCTCTCTCTCTCTCTCTATATATATATATATATATATATATGATTTGTCAAGTCTATATATATATATATATATATATATATATATATATATATATATATATATATATATATATATATATTGAGGTGGAATCGATATAGTGAAATCGTGACCTAACATATCTCCGAAAGTTAATAGCTTCTGCCAATTCAGTCTTTGACATTTTCGTTGTCAGTTGTTAATTTTATCAGCAAGGTAGGTACTTTTATACATTTTTTAATATAAATCAAATATGTTAAGACCATTATAACCATCGTCTTGGAATCGTGGGAATTGTTAGAGCAGTCCTGCATGATTAAAAACACTGGGAAGTCGTACATTGATCGCAGAAAAGAAAAAAAATTACCAAGAAATTACTGAATATAAAATTACTAGAAACAGATATATACAGAGAGTGACGTCTACAAAATTCGTACTTTTCTTTTTTCTCCTAAGATTTAGAAGGATTAATTAGATACAAAGGCAGTGAAATTGGTTGAATGGTCATACTAGATATCGGTGCTGAAAATGTTATCGGCAAGCTGAATTCTATTTCCGGGTTAGTCTGCGTTCACTTTCTCATTAATGAATGAACCAGAATCTTTCCTTGTCTAGCAGAAAGAAAACTCAGAATAGAAAACCAACGTGAAGAGTTATTGGCTATCATGTTCTACGGCTGCATTACATGGTTTACGGGGATCGTAGTAGTAAGTATGCATATAAAATAGAGTATATTGTAATAAGATTCATTAGTATTTTACGGCTTATCAACCCGTTGCAGGTTTGTCGATATTTCTGAGATGAGGTATTATGTACACTATTTATATTATTCGGACTATTGTCCTTATCTTTATCGTCATATTTATTACAACGTTTCGGACGTTGTACGCTCCGGCCTTCTTCAGGTGGTTGGAATGTCGAACTGAACCCTTTATTTCGCCCACTGGGGTAGACTGCTCTAGTTCCATGTGCCATGTTTAATGGATGTCAGTTATAAGTTATCTCTTGTTCATTCCCCTCTCCAAGTTCTCCACTGCCTTAACCGGGTATTGAACTCTTTGGGTCCTGTAACTGGATCTAACCAACGTCTTTATCCATTGTGTCATGTGTCCTTGAGGACATCTGGGTATGAATTTCTGTGTATTATAAACCTAATGTCTTCAGCAACCATTTTTACCAGAGCTCATATTACAATTTTTTGTTGTTATCATCGCTTTTATCTGGCACTCCTTATTACTGGTTCCCATATTGGATTCATTTCTATGTTTGGTCAGCTCAGTAGCCGAGCACATTGCAGGTTATTTAAAGCAAGGATGTTTTTGGAGGTAATAATGGTTTAGTGATATAAGTGTTACTAATTAATCCATAAATAGGGGAAAACAGGTGGATTGATACCTTTCCCAAGGGTATTGCGCGTCATATATGAACCATCTGGAATTGGAACGCGACCTTCAATTAACAATTCCGAGCCATTATTCATTACACCACCCGCACATTCAAGCTCACAGCACCTGGTATTCCGAAGTAGTCACTCATGTAGGTATTAACCAAGCTCGATGTTGCTTAACTTCGATGAACATACGTAGACCAGTGTTTCAATGTGATGTGGCCGCAAGCCGTTGATAAGAGAGAATTCATGTAAATATGTTTAGGAGGAGATTAAAGAAATCTGCTGAGAAAGGTATAGATCTGTCTCTTCTCTCCTTCTATGGATTAAATAGCAGGATGAAATTCGATCTTGGGCAGCAACCATTCTAAGAGAAGGAAAATTGAATTTCAAAACCCTGGAAAGGGCAATAGGAAATCATCCCCGATCATTACTTGCATAGAAATATCGGCAAAACATTAGCTTCAGAATTAGGAAAGCACTCTCGGCATTCTTTTGTAATAAATTAATAAATAATATAAATAAATTCATAATAACTCACCATTCGCCATGTCACTGAGTCGTAGTCCACTGAGGGCGTGTCGCGGATATGTCTGGCAGGGTGTGTTCGAAATGCAACCGTAAAGAACATAATCAAGTTCTTCTTGGGAAAAGCACATTGTACTTGGTGTTGGTAGAGAACACAAGGAAAGTCGGTTCGAAAGTTCGGTCAAGGCCTTGAACGGCATCACAGGAGGCCGAAAAACTTGCAGGCAATCTAGCATTCCCCGGGGCCCGAGTGTCCTGTTGGGGTAGAGACTGAAAACATACAGACAATGATGATACATTTACAGAAAATAAAGACTGGTTGCACGGAAAAACAGAATCGGCAAAACGAGTTTGAATTTTCAGTTGTGGCTGTTCATGTTCTTTTAGTAATATTGTCATTGGGAAAGGCATGAATTCATTTTTCCCCGTCTTCTTCACAAATCTTGTCGCCGAGTGAGGATCGAGCACACTACTAGTGAGCTACAAAAAGACACCATAAAAATACTAAGCTTAGTTTACCAAAAGTGTAGGGCACTCAGTGAGGAACCAACTCATTGCTTAAATTAAGGGCCAAGCAGATTAGGTAGCCAATCATAACCCAACCAGAGCATGAGTTTGGTTATGCGATGGAGGCGTCATGTGTAAAATGACCGATTTCAAATCCTTGTTATAATTTGTGGAGAAAAATGATGCAGTTCAATATTATTCAATGATTTTACTGATGTGACCTCCATCTTATGGCTTTCTCCTATATTTTGAATATTTTGAATTCCCTTGTTCAAATTTAAATTTAATTTACTCAAAGGGGAAAGAATTTCAGTGTGGGGTTTGTGCTGTTGATGGCTGTGCTAGCACAAAGGCACAAGTCATTGTGAGCGAATGTTTGAGCACACTAGCTTCATTCAATCATGCTACATCATGTGCTCTCTCCCAGAAACTGTAATTAAGGTCAGCTCAGCATGAACTATAAACCACAAGTGGGTGCTGCAGGTGTTGAACAAATACAAATGTGCCTGAGCAAGCGTTTGCAATGGGGATTAGCTAGTCACCCTAGTAGAGGGGGATCCTTGGATGTGTGTGTGTGTGTGTGTGTATGTGTGTGTGTGTGTGTGTAACAAATGTTCTGCCTTTTTTCTTTCATTCAAATTATACCCGCGCTTAGGTACAAAAATTGCTCAAACCCTCCCAGGCGTGGAATGTGAATTTGTCGGGTCGGGTTCAAACCCCTCCCAATTCTGTTTCGTTCACTTCACCCAAATGCCTTTGGAAAAGCATTAATCTATCTTCCTCCAGTTCTGGGTTAAATTGCAGGACAGACTGATCTTTCTTGTCTTGAGCTGTCACCCAATCTAGAAGGAAAGCTCTAAATTAGAAACCAGTCTGAAGAAGGATGGACTCTGTCAGGTGTATTGCACAAAACTCAACACTGTTGCTATGGCTGCAATAGATCGGGGCCCTTACGGTCCTAATGGTTTGCTGAGAACGTGACATGATGTGACGGCTATGGTGTCTTCACAGTCCCTTCTTTATCAGTCATTATAAAATACTATCTGGTTTCTGGAGTTAACGCTATATTAGTTACATGTAGATTTTTTTTTTAAGTTGGGGTAAGCATACGGTCAGAAAATGGTCAAGATGTGACTAGAAACAGAACTGATTGTTTGACGAATGACGATTTTGTTTCTGTCGAGTGGCAAGTATATGAGTTAGAACTAATCATACGGCTGAAACCACGCTTTACCAAGAAAAGGACGAACAGGTTTACCGTAGTCAGATCGATGAACCTGCACGTCTACATCTAGTTTTGATTAACTGGAATTAAATGTTAATGTGAACTGACTAGTCTAAGGCGAGTCGCCCTTATATGGGATGCTATATAAAGTTCTTAATATTTTTAAGGCGACATATTGAAGTTATAATGAAAAATAATTATAGAATAGGCGTAGATAGTTTCGCCTATCGTCCAGTTCAAACTCCTCAATCTTTTGAACAAGAGTAGAGGTTTATCCAATGTTTCATGTTTAGGATTGGGTTTCCGGTTCCTTCTGCTAAATTCTACCCACTCTATTTCACTCGCAGTAACTCACTGCGTCTTGGTGGCATTATCTCCTTGCTTAGGGTGAAATGATTAAAAGAAGAATGAGAGATTAATGAAACATATTGAATTATCAAGCGTAGGGTTCGACGCGAACAACTCAACATCGCCGACAGAGCGCAGAGACAACTCAAAACCGAGGCAACTCAGCACTAGAAAAAAATAACTTTTTTTTTTTATAACCGAATAAAAGTAATTCATTAAGGATTAAAACCTTTAATTAGTGAATATTTTTCTTCAAATAAAGCATTTGAAAAGACATTATGTAAAAGTTTTTAAACTTAAGGAATCAGCACATATGCTAAGCCACAAAAATCTCCTGAGCCGACCAAGCATAGAAATAAATACAATATGGGAACCAGTAATATGGAGTGCCAGAGAAAAGCAATGATAACAACATAGTTGCAATATGAACTCTGGTAAAAATATGCAATGATAACAGCAAAATTGCAATATGAGCACTGGTAAAAATGGTTGCTGAAGACATTAGGTTTATAATACCCAGAAATTCATACCCAGATATCCGCAAGGACACATGACACAGTGGATAAAGGCGTTGGTTAGATCCAGTGACAGGGCCCAAAGAGTGTGAGTTCAATACCCGGTTAAGGCAGTGGAGAACTTTCAGAGGGAAAGGTAACTGATCACTGACATCCATCAAGCATGGCAAGTGGAACTAGAACAGTCTAGCCCTGTGAGCGAAATAAAGGGTTCAGTTCGACATTCCAACCACCTGAAGAAAGCCGGAGCGGACAACGACTGAAATGTTGTGATAAATATGGCGACAAAGATGAGGAGAATAGTCCAAATAATGTACATAATGCCTCATCTCAGAAATATAGAAAGACTTTAAAAGTTTTTGTTTTTAGTTATTTTTAATAAAGTAAATCGTAAAAAATAAAGTAAATTGACATATAAAAAATAATCCAATAAAACACACTATTATTCATATTTTAATTATTTTTAATTAAGTAAGTAAATCGAAACATGCAAAACAAGATGAAACAATTTTTTATTTTTAATTATTTTTAATTAAGTAAGTCGTAATGTAATTTATTTTTCAATAAAATAAATCAACATTCTAAAATATTTTTATAAAAAATAATTTAATAAAACGCACAAAAATATTTTAGAATTTTGATTTTGATAAAATAGATTACGATCTACTTAATTAAAAATAACTAAAAATAAAAATTGGTTCATATTTTACATAATGCTTTTTCAAATGCCTTATTTGAAGAAAAATATTCCCTAATTAAGATTTTAATCCTTAATGAATTACTTTTATTCGGTTATAAAAAAAAAAGTTATTTTTTTTTCTGGTGCTGAGTTGCCTCGGTCCTGAGTTGTTCTCTCTTCTTGTTCTTGAAACGGCACTCACCAGAGGTGGGTTGAGCCGGCTCCAATATTGGAGTTTCATGGGAATTTGGAATTCATAAGCGGTCCCCAACCCGCATGTATAGCACATGAGATTTGATTATAGTGATGAAGGTGTCGTGCAGGACCATCCACACATTTTGAAGGGCCGATTACAGAGACCTAGTGATCTACGTGCCACAAGGTCCCCAAACGACCCTCTGCAGGTTTTGAATTCAGAGTTTTCCTTCGCCTAGACCAGTTGCCATCCAAGGCTATAGAACCCATATAGTCCTGAGTTGTCCTGGCGATCAGTCAGCAGTGTTCAGTTGGTGGTTTTGAATTTGCGATGTTGATTTTCCCTGAACCTATCTACCTACGTGAAATATTTCAGAAGTATTTTAAAACAAATCGTGGAGTATTACGACGTTATCTTACCTGTGGCAATTCGAATACGTTCTAGTAAAATTTCGTTGGAAACAAAAATAAGAGTGCTGAAATATTATGTAATACCAATTCTCCTATATTGCAGTGAATATTGGACATTTTCACCATAGATGAACAGAAGACTTGAGGCAACAGAGATGGAATTCTGCGGAAGGATGCTGAGAATACCAAACACCTGAGCAACTAAGAAGTTTTAAGGAATCTGGGAATAAAAAAGGACAATTATGCTCAGGATCAGAAAGAGACAGATGTAATTTTAGGGCCACATAATGATGAAAGGTGGTTTGGAGAATTTGCCACTCACAAGACCTACTGAAGACAAGAAAAGCAGAGAGAAACAGCGACTAACGTACTTAATGAGATTCTGTAAATGGTTGCCAGAACACGGACAGAGAGGGATAGTGGACAATATTGTTTATTGCTACGAGAAATAGGAAGTAGTGGAGAGCCATGATCACTCAATGCAAGAAGAAACGAATTTAAATCACCCAACTTGTCGTGTTTCGATAGATGAACGCCCAGATTACCTTGGTCCGACATTGGGAAGGAAACTTCCTTAGAGTTAAAGTTTACATGGGTTTGACTTGATTAAGGTTTATGGATATATTTCCCCGAAGTTACAATTACAGAATTGATTTGCCTTGGCGGCAATTCATCGCGTCTCAGTTTCTCTAAGTTGAGAAAATGAACACTGTCGTTTTCAGCAAGATAGCGCATCTGTACACGTCCGGTATTTGGCGAATGAACTGTTTTAAAACCAGTGGTTTGGACATGGCTATAGGTCCGTAGTTCTACCTCTAACTTCTTCGTAGGCGTTATGGGGTCCACCCCTTTTTCATACAAGTGGACTCGACCAGTGTACTGTTGCCGTTAAATATCCAGAGTCAGTCAGAGTAGAGAGAGCAGAGATTGTGATTGAGTTGGAGGTAGAGTAATAGTGTGAGGTAAACGCTTGTAGAAGTCACAGTTACAAGCACGTAGGCTCTAAGGAAGTCCTACTTCGAGACTGTATATATATATATACTATTATTGCTAGTAACCGTGTTTCTGGATTTACTAACAGTATTACTTATTGTATTATTGTGTAAATACATTTATTTGTTATATTTCATTCCTGCGTTTGTCATCATTGGAGACCGGATTTCATCTCGGAATCCACAACAGTAGAACTAGTGATCAGCTTAGTAACTCGAAAGTGTATTTGTCACCCTTTGTCGTTGTTCGGGCGTGGACCAAAGTTGGTTGCGTCGTTACAATTCGTTTCCAAGGTTTTCTTGGGACTAATATATTAAAGTTAGACTG